CCATTTTCCAAAGTTAAACATAAGAAAAACCAACACTTTTGTCTTCTAGAATTTTATCATTCTTTCATTCATGAAACTTGTCTTATTTTTAATATTTAATATATTAATAATTAATAAAAAAATTGTATATAATATATGTGGTGCGGTGCGGTTTTTTCGCGGTTTTTGAAAACTAATAACCACACCGCACCGTAAATTTGCGGTTTTTGAAAAACAGAAAACCTCACCATCGGTTTTTATTGCGGTTGCGGTTTATGCGGTTTTTACAGTTAATTTTAGTTGCGATGCAGTTTTTGCTCACCCCTAGTGATGGTTGCACATGTGGTTGGTGGTGACGTGTGGTAGTAGTTGGTGATGGTGATGGTAGAATTTGGGTTTGACTTCTTTAAATATGTGAATTAGTATATAATAAATTGTATTATGTTATGTTGTGAATTTTATGTAAGCAACTAAAAATGGATTGTATTAAGGTGTATATTTTATATAAATTTTGTGTTAAAATATGAATAAATGTAAACATAAAAACATTATACTGTGTATTAGTGGATTAATATATTTATTAAACTGTGAATATAATATTTTAAATTGTGAATTTGTCTTATACATGATATATTTTTTAAACAAATCTACAATTTAGAAAAAAAATTGAATTTGTAAAGGCAAAAATCTGTTTTTTTATTATTATTAAAATTTTGTATATATTTGCTACAAAAATAAAATGATATGTATTAAAAACTATTACCAAAGAAATGAAAATTACAATATTTGTTCTATTAAACTGTGAATACGATCAGAAAATGCCATTAAATTAGATGTTTGTCCAGCGGTTGCCCGACAACGGTTCAGTGGTGGTCTGACGACTGTCCAACAACAAGTGACAATTAGTTGTAAACTAGGAATAAAAAAAACTTGCTTAATATAATATTAAATTTTGATTTGTCCAAAATGTCTTTAATGTAAACATTTTAAAAAATTGTTCTTAGGGTTCTTAACATTTTTGGGTTCTCATTTGAACCACTCCTGATATATATATATATATATATATATATATATATATATATATATATATATATATATATATATATATAATCAAAAAATTAGATATATTAAAATATATTTTTTTTCTATGTATTCCTGTTGATTTTCTAGGTTTTATGATTATACTAAAATGTATGACATGTGCTATGGGTATGATCCAAATCCACCCAATTTAATTTTTTATATATAACTTTTGACAAATTTTAAAAACCGACACAAATCGAACTATTATTTTTTTACAAGATTTTTCATAATTTTTTCTTAAAATTTATACCCGGGATCTATCCTTACCTGACTCATTTAGTTTTTATTTATTTATATTTATTTTTTTCATACAATTTTAGCCCGAGTTTCAAATTCTTTTACAAATTCCCAACTTTGTGTTGTATCTTTAAAATTAGTTTTTTTATATAACTTTTTATATCTTTTTGTAAAGCTTTGTTCTGACGATTTTTTTTTCTTTCTTTTTAACTCTTTTACGTTTTTCTTTTTATGCATATTTTTTTAAGATTTTCCTATTGTTACATTCTTTATACATGTTTTTATATATATAGTTTTTATTTTTACATAATACTTTTTGTTATAGAATATTTTTTATTTGTTTATATATCCGTTTCATATATACAGGATTGTAAAAAAGAACATATAAATTTTCTTATATATATTGACAAACAAAAAATAAATTATATTAGATATAAACTTTCTACAAAGCACACGAGTATATATCCCTTACGTAATCACAAAATTATATATTTTCGCATATAAAAACAAATAAATAATTAATAGGCTCACTAAAAAAGATTATCTTATAGCGAATAATTTATTAAAATAGGAAAGGGGCTTAACTCCCAAATCCCAAAGAAGAGGAGTTGGGAACAGGAAGGCATGGGGGTATTATAGTAATAATATACCCAAGTATAACGGCTATATGGCCGATGCTGTAAAAGGCAACCCCACGCTGCATCAAAGAGAATACGCCGGCACCTGAAGCTGAGTAACCTCAGTTCATCTGTTCCAGATCTGCACGCCTCGCCATGAACATCTTCAAGAAGAAGACATCACCCAAAGGTCAGTAACTCAAATCCACTATTTCTCGTATACTTTCTCTTTCTCTTTTACTTTTTTCTTTTCAGAAAATTCCCCCCTAAATGTTTTGCTTCGTTTTACTTACGCTGTATCCTAATTACGATGTTAACTCTTTAAAGTTCGTCAAATCAAGTGTAAATGTTTCTGTCATTGTGAGTTAATTTCTTTATTTCTACAAAATGACACAACTTAACCCCATTTATCAAAATAATTCTAATTGCGGAAAGTGGGAGTATGATGGTGCGTAGAACTTTCAGTTTCCACTTTTCCAGTGATTATTGTTATGGTTCTTCTGAAGAGTGAAGACGATTGTTTTATTTTGTAACATTTCAAAGATTTAAAATGGGTTTAAGCAACATTGACCTAATTGCTAATTTGGGTCGCAAAGGTTCTCTTGTGTTGTGCTTGATAAGTAGTAAAGCAGTTTTCTAAAGACCAATTGGAAGTTTAGTTTTCCATGAATGAGATTGAGGAAGTACATCTATTGATTCTTTATCTGTTAGATGATAAATCGATTCTTTTTTTGGTCAATTTACAGATGCACTGCGGACAAGCAAAAGAGAAATGGCTGTAGCCACACGGGGTAAAGATTATTTCTTCTTATGATTTGTTTAGAAATAATTTAAGTTCTTCTAAACATTTTTTTTTTGCAATAGAAGGACCAAATTCGGTCAATAAAACAATGAACTTACTACCTTTGTTTAGAATTATAGATAAAATTCTTGATACAAGTTCATATGCTATGTAAATTCTACCTTTTATATGCAACTATGTGTGTGTTGTTGGTGTAATGCTTAGAACCTTGAAAAAAATTCTGCTTATTAACATTATACAAACACTTATTTAGAAGTTAACATGTCTACTTGGCCAATTATGTCACTTTTTACTCTTCACAATATTTTTTTTTCTTTCATTTGATGGTTAGGATCGATGGGGATCAAGCTTGAAACACCATATTTTCATATACTTTCTATACGTCTTTTTTGTTTTTTTTTCTAGTATTTTTGTTTCATCCAACCTCTGAAAAACCCTAAAGGTACTTTTTGCGATGACCCTAGTCAACCATAACCAACTTGTAGAGTGTTATAGATATCCGATAAATTTGTGATTTAAGTGTTGTTTCTTTTGACTAAATGAACTTAATGTGGACATGACTCATCCAGTACGCTATATATGGGTGTTTCTTTTTTACTCAATGCTGAAAGAATGACTCAGTAGAGAAAGTCCATTAAGTCCTAACTTTTTGCAAATTTGCCCTCATCTATGTTAACTTTTCTGGGAACTTTGATTATAATATTTTACATGCTCTAAATATATATACCTTCAAATGCATGCATGTCTTATCTCTTGACTCTTGATTTGATGCAATTGCAGGCATTGAACGTGAAATTGCATCCTTACAAATGGAGGTGTGTTATGATGGCTGAGGTTAATAATACATATATTTCTTTCCATATTCAATTGAATTCACGAACAAATTTGTTTTTTCAGGAGAAGAAATTAGTGGCTGAGATTAAAAAGACAGCTAAAATTGGGAATGAGGTTAGTGCATTTTTTAAGTTTTTAAGTTATGTCTGTATATAAGTACATATATTTCCTGCAATTTGCTTCTAGTTTTTTATTTTTTATTTGGATTAAATCAGGCTGCCACCAAGATATTAGCTCGCCAGCTTGTTCGTCTTCGACAACAGATAACAAATTTGCAGGGGAGCCGTGCACAGATCAGAGGCGTAGCAACTCATACACAGGTAATATTTATTTAATCATGCATAAATTATTATATATAAAGTATAAACATTTGGGAACAATTATTATGTTCTTTATTTATTCATTTGAAGACAATTATCTAATGGATTTAGGGTTTTTATCGTTATGCAGGCTCTGTATGCCAACACTTCAATTTCTACTGGAATGAAAGGTGCAACAAAAGCAATGGTTGCTATGAACAAGGTATACATACCATTAGTAGAATTCAAAGTGTGTTGCTATCATATAATCCTCTTGTATATTTAAAACTATATTAAGACTGCAAGAAATAGCAAAACATACTTATTAAAATTTCCTACTGTATTCAGGAAATGGCACCCGTGAAACAAGCTAAAGTGATCAAAGAATTCCAGACGCAGTCGGCTCAGCTAGATATGACGGTAACTTTCTTTATGTTCAGTCAGAGTCACAGTCACAGTCACAGTCACAGTCACAGAGTCAGAGTCAGTTTTTGGGTTGGTACGTAACTTAAGTTGTTGGTTATTTGTGTTTAGATTGAGATGATGTCGGATTCGATTGACGAAACGTTAGACAAAGATGAGGCTGAAGAGGAAACTGAGGAACTTACAAATCAGGTGGAGATGAGATAGATACTTTATGGGAGTTGATGTTTTATTAGAGCATTTTTTGGAGGATAAAATGTGACATGTTTTTGGTTGAGTTGTGTAGGTGCTTGATGAGATTGGTGTAGGCATTGCATCACAGTTATCTTCAGCACCAAAAGGTCGAATCGGGCCCAAGAAGGTTGACAATGCTGCCCCAAGGTATATAGTATAGAAATACAAAAAAAGGACAATCTACTTTAATCATTTTATCGGACAAATAACCATTGTTTATTGTTATTATGAAAATTGCAGTTCGGTCACAAATGATGTTGATGATCTTGAAAAGAGACTTGCTTCCCTTAGGCGCCTGTGATCTTCAAGTCTAGTAGTATCTATATATGTATAGGAAGTATCTTGTATTGTCTCTTTAGTAATAATACATTACAACGAATTCTTTGTTTTTCTGGATTATAGTTTATATAAAAATATAGTTTATATAAAAATAGTTATTAAAACATTTATATGGTAGCACATACATTTACATTTACATTCATCCTGATTCATTTAACATTTCCTTCCGTCTCTGGAGCTTGTATTATTCCCTCCCATAATGCGTTCTAATTGCTTCACCACCTGCATGCCCATTATGTATCATTTTCAGAAAGAGTATTATTCTAAGACTACAATTTAACTAACTGTTTGATATGCCTCTTATTGGGTTTTGGTAAGAGATTCGGTCTAACTTTGTCAAATTCAGACTGTTTGATACCAAGAATTAGAAGGTTTGTCAAATTCAGAATGTTTGATAACTGATCACATCAAGTCAAGTCTGAAAACTTACATATGCCATTGTATATCTCTTGGTAGGATCTTTCTTGAGACAACCTTCTGCTAGTCGTACCATAAGATACAACTGGAAGACTTGGACATCTGGGGAATCAACAATCCTCTCATCAATTAAATCTGGATAATTCTGATCTTCCAGAAGCGGTCTTGCCTGCCAAACACATATATACAATCAATATTAAAACTTGATATGCATAAAGATTTATGAATTTCCTTAATTACCCATTCAACTAGGGTTTTCCCATCAAACTTCTTCTCTTTTGTCTTACAACCTGTGATCAACTGTAACAAAACGACACCAAACGAGTAAACATCTGTCTTTCTTGACACTTTCCCACATTCGGCATACTCCGGTGCTACATACCCAAGGGTCCCAACCACACTCGTCTCATCTGTATCATCACAACCGGTTCTTGCTAGACCAAAATCACCTAGCTAATTAATGTACATTTTAAAATCAAGTTAATTAGAGTAACTTACTTGCAAATGCGCATGCATGATATATACATAATACATGTTAGATGCTTATGAACATTACCAATGATTCATAATCGTGTGTTACAAGAATGTTATTTGGCCTCATGTCTCGATGTATGATGTTTATTCTATGAAGATAATCTAAACCTCTTGCGGCTCCGAGAGCGATCTTTATTCTCTTGTCCCATGTAAGTGGATTCGGATTTTCCGTAGCTGCTGCACATTTGTAGATAGTTATTGTCACCAAGACCATATTAACACAATTTGAGTAGAAGAACTAATTTGAATAAAATTTGACAATTAGGGTACTTTATGGATTTAGCAACATAATTTATACAATTCTACAAAAGGGTTATTTTTTCAACAACCCTAGAGCAACATCATGCATGTGATTTGTGAGATGTTTATAGGGTTACACAACCCCATCTAGCAGATTTAGCCTGGTCCACATTGGAATTGAAACTCGAATTTTGTCCCTAAATCTGTTGCATCCTTCATTAAGGGCTGATTATCTAGTATCATATATCTACCGAATAATCTATATGTTCTTACTTGATAAGTGTTGGTCAAGTGAGCCAAAGCAGACAAACTCATAAACAAGCAGCCTGTGTGTTCCTTCTGAGCATGATCCCAACAACATGACCACATTCGGGTGTCGAGCCATGCTGAGTACATTAACTTCAGACTTGAACTCTTTCTCTCCTTGAAAACTTGCGTCTTTATGTTGTTTGATAGCAACTTTTAATCCACCATGGATATTGAGCTCTCCTTCATACACAGAACCGAATCCTCCTTCTGATAGAAAGTTGTCTGAAGAGAAACCATCAGTAGCATGGTAGAGTTCGGTGTAATTGAAGTCTAATTGCTTTAACCGAGTACTTGGACGTTTATTCTGGCAAACTGAACAAACGGAATATTCAAACTCTTCTTCTTCATGATCATCATTTGTCCAACTGGAATTCATGGTGGATACTTCAGAAGTCCCAAAGCTGGAGGTGGAGGCCTTGGATGGAGATGGGGATATCTGGTCGGTGGATGGTGGGGAGGGTGAGAAGTGTGATTTATCCCATGGTGGTGCACCACTGCTGCCGCCACCCTTCTGTTTTAAATGCTGGCTTTTGAGCATTTGTAGTTTCTGGAAAAGAAAGAGGTGTTATGATATATAGCATCCTACTTTCTTTCTTCTCATCATATCATTGTGCTTTCAAAAAAATTCTTATTAAGACATCATACTTTGACGAATCTACCTAGTTATAGCATTGTACTTTCAGTTTTCATTATTATCAGTGGAAATAGATTTGAATTTGGATGAGATTTATATAATTGGGTAGATTTTTTTTACAATACAATGCTTTAATAGGAAGAAATGATATGATGCTATAATAAACATATTAACAACAGTACGTCGCAGTTTCTTGCATTTAACCCTATAAAATACCTAAATTTTATGTAAAAAATTTGAACCTAATCTTATGCTTGGTTACTTAATGCGATGAAGAAACCAAATAAACCGCATCTTAAGGCTAGAAATGTTTTAGTTTAATTTTGGTTTTAGGAAAAAACTGAATGATACTCACCCTTAATAGGTGTCTTTGGTCTTAGGGAACTTAGATGAATTGCATGTTAGCATAATAAAGTATTTTTGAGTTTGCTTTATGTTGGCCCTTTAGGTAGGTTAATCCTATAGTGCTTTCCTATTTGTAGTCTTATTTATCTTTCTTTGTAATTAAACTTTACCCTCAATAGTGAAACCCTAGCCTATTTCTCTCTAAATTGTCATTAGTTTACATTGTCAAGGTTACTCACTCTTTGGGGAGAGTTCTCTCTTTGACATTATGGGTATCATTTCACCATATGAAACATGCTCATTGCTTGGAGTCCTTTTTGATGACCGCAGTTTCTTGTCCTCCATTGTTATTGGTCCTCTGAGCTTTTCGACTGTGTTGTCTCGTTTCATCCTCAATATTCCACATGTAAGCTTCTCCATGAAGAACTTTCTGTCTTTCTTCATCTGCCTGCGTTGTGGAATTTTCAAAATACATTAAACTTATATTCTGGTAATAAGAGATCAAAGAAAATATCATTACAACTATTAAAAGGGTCACTTGTTTAAACTTTAACTTAAAGTTTAAACCCACAAAACGACACTTTTTATCGTACCTGTCAAGTACGACCCATGTCACCCTTGAGCTTTTGGCTGCTATGGCAGCAATCATCTTTGGAGAAGATCCATATTGCACATCTATCTGGAACATTATCTGGATTTTTTTTTTGGATTAATAAGATCGTGTTTATAGAATACACAATAATTAAGAATATAAATCAACCCATGAATATTCCATGAACTAAAACTAAAAGCATATGAATTTGCTACGAATGATACCTTGTTCCTTGCACAAATCGTAGACAGTTGCATCACTTCCTCTCTTTTACGATACTCCTCCTTCTTTATCCGTTCATCGTCCTTATATTTGGTATTTGATCCACTTATGCTCATGATTTTCACTACAACACAAATTCTCTAATAAGGTGTTTGTTTCTTTTTCACTTAAGAGACATGACTTAAACCCATGAACTATATATAAGTGTATCTTTTTTACTTATAAAGAAGGCGAAAAACTTTCCTATTAAGTCCTAACTTTTTACAAATTTATTCTCATTTACTTTTTTTCTTCTATTTCTCAAAGTGTGGCGCCATTTTCTCAGATAACTTTTTAAATATCATCTATCCAGACAACACTTAATGGGAAAAGAAAAGAAACAAGCCAATGATGAATGATTACTCACAACTACTTGAAAGCTGATGAATAACTCCAAGGAGAGTGAGCTCATCTCCTGATCCAACTGGTAAGCTCTCGAAGGCTGATATGATTGCACTCAAACCATCCGTTCTTGATGCATCATGTATCACCATCAGTTTTTGTGCTCCTGTGGACATGATGTTCTTCTACTTTCTCTGAACTACAATATGGTATTGGTAGGTTTATGGTAATTAGTCAATTATCTTGTACTGACTATTAGTCAAGTATCTAATAAAATACCTTTTATTCCGGGCCATTCATGATAGAATTTATAGCAAAAGAAAGTTTTTATGATAGAATCACATTTTTGGGACTTAACACACGTCTAGTCTAAGTATATGTTAAGAGTCCCACAGGCTACATCAGCTACATGTCTCTATATATGTTGGAGTCTGACCTCTCTCTCACTCTCTTGAAGCACGTGTGTATATATATATGAACATACAGACTGAAGATCATATTAATAAATGAATTAACTTAAAATTTTTAACCGAATTGGAATCATTAGGGAACATAAACAAGAAAAGGGACAGATCAATTTGTACCATGAAACACAAAGTATATCCTATAGAGAGTCCGTATAGGGACACGAAGCAGCCTAGTTCGAGTTCATTCCAATCGTATATTGTATCTGTGGCGATGGGCCAATGAGTTTTTTCATTGTTGGGAACAAAAAAAGATTGTGTTTCTTAAGTACCATTTTTGTGAAACTTATGCTTTCTCGATTCTTGTTTTTTTCGGTTAATTAACAGCCAACTATGAGCTATGCTTCTGTTTAAGGTGATGATTACAAAGTTTTTGTTCCAATAGAAATCGTACGGTTGTCTTATTTTGGTACAAGGATTCCTAAGATTCAATGCTTACGACATCTTTTTTTTGTGTAAACAACAAGCATAGTTTAGGAGACACCCGTTGAATGTGAATCATAGTTGTTTTCCATCTAGAAGTATGTAGAAAATACAAGGACTTTTCAGTCGTTTTGCCAACATAATAAAGTAAAAATGACTATATAAGACATAGGCATCCGTTGTACTGAAGTTATGCATGTATTTATGATATAAGACATGTTTATTGTTTCATATTTTCCCACTTGAGATTTTTTCCAATGACATAAATTCCGTTGGATTCATTGGACTAGAGTAATCTTATTGACACTCTACTGTTAAATAAAAATCCAATTCTTTTACTGGAAAATAGAACCGATGGGCAAATTGGTAAACTTTCTTAACTGAAGTGTACATGTTTGTCTTCTTTCTATAAGGGGGTTCTTCATATGTGATGAAAGCGACATAGTCCTATGTAACAACAAGAAACCGCATTGTAGGTTCTTAGGCTGCGTCATGTTTGTTAGATGGAAACCACTGGAAATTTATTATTTTATCCAAAATGATATATGTATGCACCTTGTATTATTATTATATAAGTTGTCGCATAAATATTATGTTCATATATCGGCTATACATATATCAACTTATGATTTATAAGAATTTAAATCCGTTTTGGTGGACCCGTTTATCTTTTATCTCACCCATTTTTCTAGGTTCTGAAGTGTCTAGGTTCATTTACATTTGTCTTTTTACTGGTGACATTAGATTGTTGTTAGTTATTACCGTTTTCAGTGGGAGAACATAGTTGTTTCTTGTAATTGTTAAAGTTTATAATAAGTGATAGTGACACAGTTTGATAGTGACTTAAAAAAATCAAAACCAAATGGAATCGACCATCTTTTATAGGTTTAACCGATTTACTACTTTTACTACTGTCTGTTTGTGATTTCTGATCTTATACAATATGATGACGGAATCACTTATTTTTTTTTTCTAAAGAATATGGATAAGGTTTGTGAAAAATGTAACTGTCATTAGTGTGGCTAAAGGTGACAAAAACCATTTAAGATATAATTACTCGTTCTGAAAAAAAAAAGAAAGGAAAAGACATAAATGCCCTTTTAAAGATTGAAGGTTTATGCCGAAAGCAGCGTCACAACAATAAACAACACAGCAGCAAGCCCAAAACAGCACCCAACAATCACTGAGAAGGCCTGTAGATTGTTATAAATCATTAGATTAGGGGTATTTTTTATCAGAGTGAGGAGGGCAATTACGTCTTTTGCCTAGACTGAGAGATCAAAAGCAAGTTCATCTCCCACCTTGTTTCACCTTTTTGGGTGAAACAAAAAATTGAAACTTTTGTCCCCATTGACATCGGTTACAGTCTCGGTCTAATGCATGCCAAACGCGGTTGAACCTGTTCTATCATGTCCTGTGTGATAAGTGAGACTGAAAGGACATGAGATATTTTGTAATTGGGACGAACCTTTGCCTGTGATTTAAACTTGAATTTGGCCATGAACCATGATAGACCTTTATCAACTACAGGTGCAAGTGCTAGAGCCCTACAAGATAAGCATCTCTTTCAGATGACTTTGTCACTTAAACTAAAGTCTCTGTGTGTGTGTGTGTGTGTTACTTGGCTCACCCTGCAGCTCTGACAAGTTTAGTTACTTGGCTTCCAGCCCAGACCATGGCCATCAGTTTAACAAATCTGCACATTGTTATTCAGTTCAAATTCTTCCCATTAGTTATTTGATGATGATGAAGCAGAAGAAGCACCTTTTAACCGCTGTCCAATAACCCATTTTACCAGGTGCTGGCGCAATGTAGAACCTACACCATAGATAGACATAATTCATGGTAAGTAAATATGTAAAGAGCATTGAATTGTAGAACATATGAAAGAGGTTCTATGTGATAATTTCATTGTTTGACATAAATATATGGACGTTAATTTCTTAAAGCTATCAACTTTAAAGGTACAAAGCACTTACCATGCCACGAGAAAGGCAGAAAGATAATAAGCAGTGTTGAGTAGCCCGTAGGATAATATCCCTGAAATTCCATATCTTCTAAGCTTTTTCAATATCCTGAGAATTCCAAGAAAAAGAATAATATGATTTTGTATAGATATGAAATGAGTGAACGGAAAGATGAAACTGATGATACATATAAATGTATAATAGCTTGCTAAAGTTGATCAATAGTGATGGTAGTTAGTACTCGGATGAAGAGGACGACTTTCCTTGACTTTCATTGCTTTCCCCTGAACCTAAACAGGACATATGGAATTTTCAGAAACCTTGCATTAGAACTTAGAAGTATGTTTTCATATGTAGAATTGCTATTGTGTAGACATAAATCTATTGATCAATACCTTCTTGCTCTATAGAGCTGCTGGGAGAATCTGATAGTTCATGAGGCTAACCTTGAAGTGAAGAGTTAACAATTAGCAATATGGTAAAACTTAAACTGTAATTAACATATCGTTAACAACGCTACATCACACTGAATCTAGAATTTATTCCCAATTTTGATATAAGTATGTAAACCCTGAAAGAACGACCAACAAATTGAATATCATCCATCAAAATCAATACCATATGTAATTTAGCTCAGATTTCGATAAAATATCAGACATTTCAATCAATGTGGCACATTCAAACATGGAAATTGTTACAGTTTATAGGAACATCATGTGAAAAGGAAATAATCAAACTCACATCGCCACCACGCACACACCGGAGTTGTATACATTCACTAGTGATTTGGGCATGATTCATTTGAAACTGAAAGTGTAAACGAGTTGAAGAATCAGCAGGAACATCCAATGTGCGAAAGCTACTCCTGACCTACAGCATTTCGCCCATAAAAAACCCAAAATTAGCAAAAGTTGTAGCATCAATATAGAAATTGAGGTTACAGGGAGCTTTACTTACATGGTCGAGGTGAGCTAGAGTGTTCAATCGCATACGTGCGTTGTGAGACATGGATGGAACAATGAAACCAGGCGATAAGCGGAGAATTTCGATTGGTTAACGGTTCTCGTCGGAGGTTCGGGTTAAAATGGTAATTTCGAGTGTGTATGGATTGGAACTTGGTAACGGATGAGGCTCGACCAAACCGAGCCAAAATATGAAACAAAATGGCCCCGAAGAGGCGAACACAGACCGGACCACTTTTCTAGTTTTAGCCAAAAAAAAAAAAAAAAAAAAAAAAGATTAAACATTTTTTTAAAATAGCCAATAAAATCGTAGGTGAGACATAGGCACACCACTTCCAATTTAGTCCGTATCAGCTGCAAAATCGAGACATGCATTGGGATTTCGGCCATTTTTGGCCCATAAATATATAAGTATAAAAAGGCTAAAATTTGACATTTGGAAAGTTGAAATCCTAGATGGCATAAAGTATGACATTTTAACTATGATTTATGACATTTTGACTATAATTTATATAAAATGCAGAGTATGCGACTAAATTTAATGTTTTTTCAGTTAGATTTGAACAAAAATATGAGTTCTAGTGAGTTTGGGAAGTGGGAGGTTGTTGATTATCAACAAAGATTTTATAAGCTTTTCATAACTCCATATAAACTTTGTTTGACTTGATTTTTCTTTCATTGTTTAGTACTTGACAAGGGATTTCCAAGGACATATCATGCTCGTTATTTGGTGTGAAAGTCTAAAGGGTAAATTACACCAATCGTCCCTCGTGCATATATCAGAAAGCGTGTTTAGTCCCTATTTTCAAAAATTAACTCGGACTGTCCCTCGTTTGCTTAAAACTTGCATGCTTCGTCCCTCTGGACATAAAAAGACCATTTTGCCCTTATTTATTTCTTTTTTGATATGTTTATTAATTATAATTATTAATCTATTAAAAAAATATTTAATTAAATATAAACACCATCTCCATTATTGATTAAATGTCAAAATTCTTCCCAAGGCTTTCTCAACTTCAGCTACCACCACGACCACCGTCAACCACCACATATCACCACCAGAAACCACCACTTTTCACTCCTATTTCTCTCCCACCACCTATTTTGGAAGATGTGTCTTATGTCCGATCACCATTGAACATATCCCACATTTTTTCTTCCCAAAAAACCGGCGACCCCCTAAATTTAATAAACAAGAACCTGAAATCAAATCTAACTAAACCCTAAACTTGAAGATCAAACTATAAACCTGTAAATAGAAACCCACGAGTTGTAGTATAAGAAAGAGGATTCAAAATCAAACGCATTGGTGGTCACCCAAATCCTGCTGCTATCGAAGAACCTCAGATCGATGATGCTAACCACCAAAAAACGTGAAGAATCGGACCTCCGACAACTACCCCTTCATCATGCACACTTTATTTCTTATGTTACTGATCCCCAAACAGGCGGTGAAGCTCGATCAAAAACCCTAGGTGGCGGATCAAAACCCTAGGCGGCGGCAACGTCTCCATCTTTATGTAGAACCCGTCGGAAACAAAGAGGGGACCGCCGAGAGTCTTGGTCCATACAGAGAGGAGATCACCAGAGTCACTATGATGAGTCTATTTCATCTAAACAAGACATCGAACAAGAAATAATTATAGCAAAATCAAAAACCCCTAACCTTCTTCCGTTAAAGAAGCAGATTGAAGATTAGAATCCGAGAAGAGTTATCGATATGAAATTGATATCCTCGTTTCTGGGGCTGACGGAATTGGCTGGAGATGGTGATAAATGGAGAGAAAGGTTCACCGGAGGTGGAGACGATGGTGGTGGCCGACGATTTGTGTCTGCACTTTCCCTCTCATCGAATCTGTGTGTTTATTTCTAATTAAAAGTGTGGGGAAAGTGAAGAGGCTTTATTTTTATTTTTTTTAAATCTACTAATAATAAAGGTAAAAATAAATTAATTATAAAATAAAAACACAAGGGTATTATCGTCATTTCAATTCTGGAACGGACTAAGTTCGCAATAAAATCACCTTTGAGGGATGAAGCGTGCAAGTTGAAACCAAACGAGGGACGGTCCGAGTTAATTTTTGAAAATAGGGACTAAACATGCTTTCTGACATATGCACGAGGGACGATTGGTGTAATTTACCCAAGTCTAAAACTGAATAACAATGAAACTAATAATAAAGTTTCAGTCTAAGTCAGAAATAATTCATCCGAAAACATGAATATCAACTTTGTATAAAATGCAGGAAGTAAATATGAGTAATAAACAACTAGAAGCAATAAATAAGAACAATAAGAATGTTTGAGGAAAATCTGATTGATAGTATTTCAAGTGCATAAAAGGATACATGACAATAAAGTCTTACAACCCTATTTAAAGGCACAATTGTACATGATAATATTCAAGGAAACAAAGGATGAAATACTAAAAGATCAGTATAGTACTCTGATTAAATGGATAAGACAAAAATCTTCATTGTTTGTAATATATGATTAAATGGATGAGCAGAGCTGGAGAATCAACAGGCAAGGCAAGTGCAAGTTTAGCAGGGGCACAAGCACGACTATGTTTGATGCCGGTGTGAAAAACCAGTGCAAGACACGGCTATATAGGATAGAGTGACATATATAGTGGTCGCCTATGACACAACTATGTGAAGGTGTTACACAAGCAAATAGAAATCAATGAAAATCAATAAAATGACAAAAAGAATTAACATGGTTAAGTCGATATGACCTACATACATGGGCAGGAAGAACTCTTATATTACTTGATTGTTTTCAAAGTGATACATTGGAATCACTAGCACTAAATACGTATAACCGAAAATCCTAACAATTATAAGGTCGGACCCATATATAAGTAAATTCGAAACAACCAAACAGGTCCATACCGTGGGGGATCCCCCTGGCATCCCCATGGGATAAGTGTTTGTTGTGTACGCCTTCAGACCTAACAACCCTCAGCCTACTCAAAACAAACTCCCAATGGTTAAACATTAAAAAAAAAATTGGTGGTTAAACCAACAAACCCAATTATGGTGATTTTTATAGAATTTCACATTTTTTAAAATCACGTCTTTATTATAAATGTTAATTTCTAACACCGTTAACCACAATAATTCAATCAAAACATCATTTAAGTCTCATATGCTAGTCCTAAAGAGATTGAAATGGACGGAGTGGAAGGGGATATCAATCGAGGGGTGGTATTGATGGAAAACCCCACCAATTGATTTCTTTCACCACTCGATTATGCAACAAACATGAGGACATGAGGACGAAGATGGTTTGGTGGAAAAAACAGGTAATGTTTGATTTATTAGTATTGCTATGATACTAGTAATAATTAGAAAAATATCAATTGGGGGTTAAATGGTTGTTGTATATGCATTTTACATGTTGGTGTTACGGACCAAAAACGATATGAAATAACAAAATAAAGACCAAATCAAAAAAATCCTTCTTTTGACCAAATTCTAAACATGAAACATATACAATCACTCATACAACTAATATAAAATGGAATCACCTAAAAAAGTAATCGAAAATCATCCTATTTACCTAGTAATGTTATATTATATATAATGTTATTGACATATTTTGAGATAAATCTTCCAGTGCAGTTGGTTGAGGCCTGCGGGCGCTTCATTGACTGTCGATACACACCACAGGTTTTCGACTCATTCCGAGCTACAACTTGTTCTAATTAATTTTTGTAGTTATATGTACATATAAATTAACTATTAACTAGAGCTCTTTTCTATAACCATTGTTGCAGACGAATTGGATGGAGTGCATAGGCTTTTAGGAGGCTCTCTTACCTTAATTCAATTTCTAGTAGTCCTTCGTTTAATGTTTTTCATTATATTATTCGCCAATAACATAATATATAATATTTAGGAATTTTCTATATAAACCTATTTTTAAGGAGGCATTTTTTTTTCGTGTTTGCACATGACCTAAGATAACTCAGGACCAGCACGGAGATAACCATCTTTGAGATGGTCTAGTGCACGAAACATTCTAAAACAGAGTTGACCCAAGTTCAAATCCCACGAGCTTCAACTTTGAGGTGGTCCGTCATTAAAAAAAAAAAAAATGTTCCAAAGGTGGGTTTGAGGCATCTCCAATTAAGGTAGAATAGATCCAAAGGGGCTATGGACTTGAATTAAGGAATGGGGAGAAACACAGTGACTTATAATTATCAAACTAAGGAAGAAAATCAGAGATTGGAGGCAAGGTCCATTATTTGTTAACAACATATCCTCTATCCATTATTTGTTAACAACATATATCTGTTCCAAACTCTGTAAAACTTCTTCACTTGAAGGTCTATCTTTAGGATTCTTAGCTACACATTTTAATGCAAGTGTAGCGCATTTTAAAGCACCTTCTAGGGGGTAGTTTTGTCCAAGACGTGGATCCATTATTTTCTTTAGCTCATTTTTGTCTTCAAGAAATGGAATCGCCCACTTTACCAAACCAGAGTAATACCTATGTCTTTGCCAAGCTTGTTGCCCCGTTAGAGCTTCCAACAACACCACTCCAAAACTGTAGATGTCGCTCTTCACACTCAGATGACCTGTAATTTTTTCTTTCATATTTACATTTCCATAATTTTTCTGTAAGAACTTGTTCTTAGGCTATTTAACAAACATTAAACACAAATTTACCATTGCTTAGGTACCCCGGGTCTAAATAACCCAAGGTACCAATAATACGTGTAGTAACACCTGTTTTTTGCGATTTCAGGACCAAATCTCGCCATCCCAAAACCCCCTAGTTTTGCATTAAAATCCTGTATTAAAAATGAGTAGAAAAATGGTAAACTTTAGTGGCATAAAATCAAAATCTTAAGTAGATTAAGACTACCTGATCTAGCAATACGTTAGATGTTTTAACATCACGGTGTATGACTTGATCTTTTGATGAATGCATATAAGCAAGTCCATGGGCTACTCCTATCATTATCAAAAGTCGTCTTTCCCATGAAAGTAGTTTGGCAACATCCAGTATATCTGTAAAATTATCCATCTCTCATAAGCTACTACATTGCGAAAATTCAACTTTTGAGTAAAATAAGTATTATATTACCTCCAAATAAGTAGTCACCAAAATTTCGATTCTGCATGTACTCGTAAACAAGCAAGCATTTGTGTTTTTTATCATCACAATATCCCAACAGACTGATAATATTTGGATGAGCCAACCATCCTAAGACGTTCACCACAGTCTGATCTCACAAAATTTTAGGTTCATTCAGCTAAAGGATTCATAAAACAAAAATAAATTCTAGCATTGTTCTATGAAAAAATAGACTCATGGGTTAATTATACAACATAAAGTATAGATATAAAAGTAAGTATACACCTTAGTCCACTACGAATAAATGTTAAAGGTGAATGAAGACTCAACTTACCTTCCATTCTGGAAGACCTTGACTGTACTTTTTAACAGCAACAGCAATTCCATCACCTTCTGTTGAAGGGGCGAATGTGTTCTTGTCAACCCAACCTAAGAACACTTCTCCAAAACGTCCCCTACCCAAGAGCAAATCTTGACTAAAGTTTTTTGTAGCTCTTTTCAAATCCGTAAACTTAAGTACTCTCAAACTTGGAAAAAGAATTATGAATTCTTTGTTTTCAGCCTCTACAGTATCACCAACGTTTCTATTACTTGATAGCTTCGAATCACCATGAGCTGAAATAGATGAATAGAAACAGGTTATATGATGACTATTATAACTTTACAGATTTACGTCGTGTGATACCTAATCAATTGTTTTTTCAATATGGATGCACACAAATTTAAAAAATGTGTACATACAATTCAACAAGAGCTTGAAATACCAAAGTTGTCTTCATTTGAAGGAGATGGAAGCATATCAAGCACTCTTCCAAATATTGATCTGCCAGCAGCCTGCAATGAACCATTGCTTTTCTCTTGTAAACTCAGTGCAGATTCAAGACTAACTACAACCTCAGCCATTGTAGGGCGTTGCTTTGGATTGCTTAGCAAACATCTCTCTGCAATTCGAACAAACTCCTTTAAACATTTTGTGGACACTTGACCCCTTATATCACAATCAATTATGCTCTTTAAATTCCCTTCTTTGATTGAACTTTGAGCCCATGCAACTAAACCCCATTGCTCCAAGTCAAGACTTTTATCCACTGCATGCTTCCGACACAGCACTTCAAACAACACCACCCCAAAAGCGTACACATCAGACTTCCTTGTCAGCCTTCCAGTTGAGAAATAATGAGGATCAAGATACCCAAAAGTGCCTTTAACAAGTGTGTTGACATAAGTCAATGGCTGGATTGTGGGACCCATTTTGGACAACCCAAAGTCTGATATTTTAGCTGCCCAACTTTCATGTAACAAAATATTTGAGCTCTTGACATCGCGATGTATAACCCCGAACTCAATCCCTGTTCCCGAGTGAAGGTAGTGTAACCCACGAGCTGCACCTATGCAGATCTTGAGTCGCTGAAGCCATGAAAGAGGGGTACCATGTCTATGGAGGTGGTCTTCGAGGGTTCCATTTGGCATGTATTCGTATACGAGGATCTTCTCTTTTTCATGATTACAGTAACCAAACAAAGAAACGAGGTTACAGTGACGGAATTTGGAAAGCATTTCAATTTCTGCCCAAAATTCTGCTTCCCCTTGGCTAGACATGGAATCCAACCGTTTAATGGCAGCAACGACGAGACTTGATCTTTTGATAACGTTACCTTTGTAAACTTTTCCAAACCCCCCATGCCCAATTACTAATGATTCATCAAAGTTGTTGGTTGCCAAGAGAATATCAGAGAATTTGAAGTGAACGCATGGTTGTGACCATTCGATGGAGGAGGAGGTGGAGGGTTGAGATTCTTTGTCATCCTCAGTAGTAGCAGTGAACATGATTATTAATGAAGAAGAAGAAGAAGTGTACGGAATATATTGGAGCTTCATAATCAACTTACAAATTTGTTATCTTCTTCCTGTTTATGATAGTCAAATGCCCATTACATTTTTACACTTCTTAATTTTCACAAATTGGCCCACAAAAATTAAAAAGTCTTATCTGTTTGACTATTTATCATTTTATTGTATTTAACAAGATAATCTTTTATATGATTTTAATTTATGTGTAACCTTTTACAACCAATCTTGTAGTTTTTGTTTATAAATCCACAAGGAACTTAATTAGAGCCCTAGAGGTTTACTTTTAGGAGGAGCATCCACTAGTTCCCATGTATGATTCCACAGAAAGAATTACAAATTCCTCTATTTGATGAAATTTGTATTTCAACCGAATTTAAGTTTCTTAGAACATGCAACCATTTATGATTATGGACTTGGTCAAACAAAATTTCTAATTCGATTCTATTAATTTTCACACATAGTCTAATGAACAGGTGTCTTCTTATCAATGAAAACGATTGAACATGACTAATATAAATAGTTTACAAGAATAAGAATTAGAAAATTATTGGGTCAGATATTCTTACCTGTTGTGTTTGACCATTTACAGGTGGGGTTTTCATTGTTCATAGCACGATGCTAATCAAGAAAATTCAACTCTCTAGAATATCTTCAACAGTCACGTTTTACATAAAAAAAAATGGGTTGAATCGTGTCAAAGGCAACACAATATTTTATAAACACATGGAACACCATAAACAAACTTCAATAAATTAAGACAAATAACAAACCAACACAATCAAATAACATCTGAACCAAAAAAAAAAAAAAATTATGTTAATTCGTCTTCATCCCAAAACCCACCATTGATGCAAAAGACGAATTTGCTTGAAGATCCCATCATTTCAATAAGAACAAACTCATGAAGCAACTTCCTTTTACCAAAAGGCAGAATATACACACTACATGCTTTTGAGTTCTGAGCTTTGAGTTTTGAGTTTTGGCCTCTTCCCTCTATTTATTGTTGATGACAACTAACAAGACACCTACTCCTTTTCCCATGACTTACCTTACCTTCTAAAGAGAATACCAAACAAGACACGACTTACAATGACAAAATAAATAAATAATTTCCAAACCCACATAAATTTCAAGGTAAAATTACATTCAAAACCATGCTAAAATATACTAAATCATGTCTCATGTCTCAAAGAACGTTGACTTGACCAGATGGAAACCTACTATTATGATTCATCATTCACTGCATCTGCATTTGCTTCCTTTCTTTCTCAGCTGATTTGGTTTGAGGCAATGTGCCAAACACTTTGTCCCAAAGAGAAGATGTTATGCCATATCCTTTGTTTTGGATCCGAAAATGATGGTTTAAGTGGTATTTCTGCATAAAGTATAAAAGAAACATATATTGTTATTTTGGAGAAACATTAGCATGGCATAATAGATTCATAAATAAAGATGTGTCATGTCTTTTATACTTTACCTTGAGACTTCTAGGAACTTGGCTTTTTGGCTGACCATGGTGGACATAGTAATGTGTGACATCATACATCACATAACCAAGTAAAATACCTCCAAACAAAGCAGGAGTAACTGTAGGGGTCGATATCAGTTTCAACACATTCCATAACTGCCAATCATGCAACTTAAATCAGTAGGTTTCAAATTGGGAAAATTTTGACTATTTTCAATATAATCTTTTAAGAAACCATTTTCCGAGTTTTGAAAAGGTTAAAAGAAGAGAACATACTGGCACCAAGAGAATTGCTGTTGCAGTGGGAGGGAAAACAAGGCGTAATCCATCCTGAGGGTGTTTGTGATGACAACCATGAAGAAGATAATGAAGGGTGTTCCCCCTAAACATATTTAAAAAGAAAAAAAAAAAAAAAAAAAAACGTGAATAAAAACCATAGAAATCTTATCATATGGTGTTATTGAGATAGGAATGAAAAGAGAACACACCAATAGCTCTTGGTGTGGATGTGAAAAAGGAAACGATGAAGACTGTATTCCATGAATGACCAAATGAAAATACCCAAAACAAGTATTATTGCTATTTGAGGAAGTGAAAGCCCCATCTTGAATGACTTTGAAGTATACCAACATACAACTGGGAGCCAAATGGATGGAATATAATACCACTCATTTTTTGTAAGAAACTGTACCATAAAAAAAAAATAATAAAAAAAAAAAATCAGTATCACCCTCCATAATTTATACAAGACATGATTGAACAGGTTGTACTGCATTTGACATGACTAAACAACAAGTTAACTGCATTTGACATGACATAATAGGCTGTACTATAGTTATTTGACATGACAGAACATGTTGTACTGTATTTCACATGCATTTGACTGAGACTGATGTCAATGGGACAAAAATTGCAAATTTCTGTCTCGCTGGAAAAGGTGGGACCTAAACTTGCTCTTGATCTCTCGTTTGTGCAAAAGACGTGAATGCCCTCATTGTTGAAAATAGCCCTAGATGTATGTGATTAGATTTAACGAAAAATGAAGGAAAAAGTACCTCCCAGAAGTCACTTTTAAAGAATCGTGGGCCTTCCTTGCTGACAATAGGTTGGTGAATCCATTCTTGATAAGCTTCTCCAAGATGGCCAACCTTTATATTCAAAGATTTTTACAATTAGAAGATAAACAAGAAAAAAACAATTAAAACATAAAAAAGGAAATTGACTAAGTGTAACACATGAAAAAATCTTGTGAGATTGTATCAACATTGTGAATTTGTCTCTAATGGTGAAGATGGTTAAATAAGTAATTCTCAACTTGGCTAGATATGTAAAAATGGTGTTGTAATTTTCCAGTTCATCGGATGTAAAAAGAGGGAATTTGTTCAAATTGTCATTGGATGAAATGATTAAAAGGGGCAGAAATTATAATAAACATTTACCTGGAAGACAAGAGGCTTATCTAAATCCACAGTGAATTCTTGTGCTACCATTTTGAAACCTGCAGATTTTAATCAAAATTAGGAACAAAAGAATCAAATCAACCATATAAAGCTTACCAGATTAAGCCTTGTCCCCATTAAGTCTATTAAGTAAAAAAAAGAAACAACACCTAAATGCAACTGAATTGCCACAAAAGAAACAACAGATAACTGAAGAACATTTTCAATCTCACAACCCAAATCACCATACGCCATTAATACTTGATTAGATGATCCACAAAGATACAATGACAGGTTGGCGGACCCAACACTATTTCCACCTATGGCCAGATGATCTATGATATGTGGACTTATGTATGATGGTGATTGGTTATTTTTTTCACATATTTAACTTTAACTAAACACATTATAAGACCATAAAGTCCCTATCTTGCATCAGAAAATGCTTATGTTCCTCTACATATTGTGTTTTCAAACAGATTAGGAGATTTGTCATTGCAACTGTGGGATTCAAATCTTTTAAAATTCAAATTTTAGCATAAATGAACCATAAATTGTGCAAGATTACATAAATTTGGGGGTAATTGCACCAATAAATGTAGGTAAACTTGAGATGTCCTACAATTGCTCAACAAACAAATTCCAACAGAACATCCATGGTAATCGTGATTTTAAAACAGTATCTACACACAGCCCTTAAAAGTAAATGAAAACAAACATGATAAACCAGAATTATCCATTTAGACCCATGAAATTAGAACACACGAACAAATATGAATCAGAATCCGACGAATCCGAATAACAGAAAACATAAAAACTACAGATTAACATATTAACGACGCCAAAAACAAGGCGAACTCAAACAGAACACGTTTAACAGTTCATATATTTAGACACTGTAAACAGAGATCTCCAACCCTAAAACGGCACAAAAGATAAATCCATACAGAACATACAAAAACACCTAACACGGTAACAGAGATAAACCAGAATTATTCATCTACACCTACGAACGCAGAACACAGGAACAAGACGAATCAGAACCCACAATGTGGACCCGAAAAAAGCCCTAAAAGAAGACATTAATAGCACCCAAAAGAAGACGAATTCAAATCACAAGAAAAAGGAAACAAAGAGCGTTCCAA